TCTTTCTCTCTGGTAGCTACTTCTTCTCTTCCAATCGCTCCTTCCTCAGTCACAACCACTTCTTCCTCTCTCGCAGTCGCGCCTTCATCACTTGCTGTTGCTCCTTCTCCCATTGCTGCCGCTCCTTCATCTACTACGTCCTCTGTTCCTTCTTCTTCTTCTTCTTCTTCCCTTTCTTCTGTGCGTTCTGGTTGCGGAGATGGATCCGTAAGTTCCTTGATCTCCCTTACCCACGTCTTCTTCTTCTCCATAGGGGCAATGATGACCTTCCGGTTCTTAGCTTGAGTCCCGGTTCTAGTGGACTTAGTAGAAATGGCATTGACTTCAAGTTGTGTTTGGACCCCAACATCTGTAGACCTAATAGGGACATCACTGGTTTCAAGTGGCGTGGTTTGGGTCTCTGTGTCGACCTTAACCCTTTGAAGGTGGTCTATGGCAGCTCGATAAGCATTAGCCAGGCCCCAGCACAAAGCGGAGAATTGCATATTTGGATCTTTGTAGGAAAAACACCCTTCTGCCAAACAGTGGGCCATCTCACCAGAATCAAACATTTGTTCTGGTGTGAACTCCCAGTTAATGGGGGGTGACACATGTCCTACTAATCTACCAAAATCTCCCCAAGCTCCATGCCACCCGGGGACTGGCCTGTCTGCAGCCCTTTCCAAAGTTCCAGCGAGTCCCTTTGAGGTGTGATCTTTCCTACAAGAGGGAAAGCAACGGAACCCCATTCTTCCAAGTTTAAGGAGCACTTCCAGTACCTTTATCAATGACAGTACTGTTGCAATAAGATTTATATAGTAATTAGAGCCGATTTTAACCATGGGGATCTCCTTTACCAAACCTTCGATGTCAAAATTAAAGGATGGAAGCAATTCGTTCCATCCATCCTCAAGGTCTGGACGTCTCCCTATAGAGTAGCCTAACACAGGTGTAAAGATGGCTAGAATTATAAGACAAATTAATGAAATAGCCACTGTTTTTGTTATTATTTCTTCTTGTTCTTAAAACAACCCTTTGTTTATATAAACAAAGCTTCCTTGGCTGCTTTCCCAGACCTGTTCCCAAAACAATAGATTGGTTGCAAAACAACACCGAGCTTGGCTGTCTTCCCGGAAAATGTTTATCAAAACAAGCCAAACTTAACCAAAATATCCCACTCCTGACACCAAGAATGTTGTGCAAGTTTCGAGCTGGCTTCCCGCCAAGTCCCCCGAAACTCGACAACGAGGACCCGCCTCCCAGAGAGGGAAAAGAGAAAAAAAAGAAACAAGCAGCCAAAGCTATAGCAAAAATACGTATATATATATATATATATATATATGTTTTATATATGAGACAGATACACAAAAGGAGAATACCACACACCGGGGGGGGGGGAAGGGGGGGAAGGGAAGGGAGAAGGACAAAAAGGGGCAAGGACCGCACAAGTCAAACAACCAGCCGAAGGCAAATTAGCAAAAATCTCACCACTTCCCTTCGAACAGGCAGGATGGCTAGACACGGCCCCTGGCTCTCCCCTCACGGGTGGCAGATAACAGCAGTCACTGTAGGCCTCGGCTCCAGATAAGCCCGACCGAAACAGGGACCCACCGTTCTCGAACCTCGCCGGAAAGGAAGAGAGCGAACTATCTTATCCATGCCTTATTTATACCCTAGGTTACGTAAAGGAATAGCATGGAATACTTCCTTGGTCACCTTCCTAGTTCCTTCCTGGTTACAAGCTGGTTTCCAGGAAGGCCTAGACTGAAACCACCACACTCAGTGAAAAAATAGGCAGGTCTCATACATTCACCCTAACTTTTTGGACAAGTATTATTTTACTTCAACAGAACTGATACCAAGCATAAGAACTGTACCTCACAGTCTTGCAGTCTTAATTTTGTGACTCCTTAATACAATAATAAAAGTTTTATGAACTCAAATGACGCTATTAAGAGAGGAAAATTAGCCAAAGCCTCTCTGGACTTATTCTCAAGACCGGAATATTTAGTTCTTCTTTCCATAAACTCTGGTTATACATGAAAATGAAACATTAAAGTGCTGGTGCAGAGCCAAATTGCCCTAATACATAAAAGTTTAAACTACAAACCAAGTGCTGCTGGGAGACAAGAGCACTATCCATGTATGGGATCCATGTCATTGCTGTCTTCTGAAAGGCACTGAAGAATGATTATGCCCATAGTAATGGAACTGATCAACTTGTCCTCCAGAAAAGCACACCAGCCATGCCTTTAGAACAATGTAATATCTTGACTAGCCAAAGAAGACAGTATTTGCTTTTCTAGCTATTGCCAACAACATGGGATAAAGAAAAACTACTGTGAAAGTATTAAAGAAAATTCCAGCAATATGACACTGGTTAGCTGTTGAACCTCCAGAGGTTCAGACCAGAGCACAGACCAGAGACTGCCCTGGGAACTCCAGTTTACATACTCCGTGGCCTTGGCACATGAAGATGATCTCCATGTTGTTCTGTGAGATCTCTCCAGTGACTTTGATACAGTGTGCTACAGAAGAAAGTCTCCAAAGCACAGAAGCTTTGGTACATCTCATTTGTCTCCGATAAGACTTGGTGAGGGCAGTCAGTAACTAGTTCTTCCCTCCCACATGCTCTCAGAGCCTTTTCACCATTAACAGTAAAACAAAGAAACAGCATGTCCCCACATTCCAACAGTATGATCACGATATTCAGAACTCTGTTGATTTTTCTTGATACCTTTCCGCAAATAAAAACATATACATAATTTTTATAATGACACAGTGATAAGAACACCTGCTCATGGAAGCCATGATGCGAACCTCCCACAGCCAGAGGGTTACTTCAGGGTGAAGTGACAACAGTGTACTCAGTGGAGGACACTGGTAGGGACTAAAAGAACAGACACCACTACCGATGGGTCACTCTGAATATAAGCATAAAGATTAGGAAGTCAGAAGCACTGGAGAACATCATCCCATGGCTTGACATGTTTTTGAAGGAGTGTAGCATAGCTATTGATCTTAAGAGAAACATATGCCTATTCTGTGAAGCTAAAGATTAAGTGTCAAAATGTTCTGCACAGTAAAAATGATTCCAACCCAGGAAAGCAGAGCAGAAGCACTTCACATGCCTAAAAAATTTCAGTAGGGAGAACATGAAATGTTTCAGGACTCTCAGTCACACTACAAGTAAACAAGGATTTTACAGGGATTGCTCACCTGGACCCACAGACCTAAATTCATCCCATGTGGCGTTTTTGGCACATAAACACTAGGTTGTTTTTGGTTGGTTGTTTTATTGTGGTTCTTTTTATTCTGTGTGTTTCTTTCTGTCTTGTAACAATCCTGACAAACAATCTATTTGTCTGTGACCTCCACCCCAGATTACTATAACTCACTATGTGGTTGAAGCTAAACGTGTGGGTAAAAAACAGGCTCCAGATATGACTGCTCATCTTTTCCAGTGCTCACATCATTATAGAATAACAGACCAGCTTCCAAGTAGTTTGTAAAACAGATCCAATAACGAACTGAGACATTTGGTTGTTCATCCCCATGATTTAATAGGTACCCTGTTTCACTGCATAGGGAGAGTTAAGAGCCTTAGAATTGCAAACTGGACAGCCCAAATGGCTATGATATGATGTGCTGTGCACAGAGACATATTGGAAAACTCCTCCACAGTGTAAGGATCTCCTACAGCTAAAGCTAGCAAGGCTTCATGGTAGTTAGGAACACAGACTTCTAGAATTCCCACAGAACTGAGCAGAGCTAGTCCTTTTATTCTATAGTCTGTGTTCTACATATGTATTTTATTGAACACAAAAATTGTGTTAGTAGTAAACCCACATATTTTTATCTAATATGCTGTAGTTAGTATATTTAACAAAAAAAAAAGGACAGTATGTTCCGTTCCTAACTTGGCTGACAACTGAAGCCCTCATCACCCACCTTCAAGGAAAAGAACTCTGCAATCTGTTGCAGAGATGTTTTTCCTTGTGATCTTTCTGGTCTTAGGAATTTTTAATTCCATCCTACTCAATGGCACAACTTCATGCAGATCTACTTGAAAGTGTGTTCTTTTCCAGTTATGTATATAGAGGGGTGGTTAGATCCATTGATTAAGATGCCCCAAAAATGTGTATTTGAATCTCCTCAGGCTGAGCAGCAAGCTCAGTCTCACATCATTTGCCTACTCTGACATTCAGGCTAATATTTAAAAGGTGGTTTGCATCACAGCTGCTTTTTATTTTTTTCCAAGGGCTGACTTCATTTGCATTCTTGGAGAAACTAAATCTTGTTTATGTGGATTAAACCTGCTCACAGGGTCTTGGGTGGAAGAAAATTCATCAGGCCCTACATGAGAACTGCACACTTCAGCTCAAAATGAGCCAATTCCATGCCTCCGCAGAGAAAACTAAGAGGAAAATTTATTGTTAAATGGGAAGATATTACAGTGTGGTTAGTCACCTTCAGGGGTAAATGGCACTTAAATTAGGGAGTATTTAGGATGTCAATTCTGGCACCAAGTTTAGGCTTAACTACTAATTATTAGTCTAAGTACAGCCTAAATACTGCTGCAGATTCCTCACTTCATTGGATTTAATCCATTACAGAATTTTAAAATCTGTGAATGGTTCAAAACCTGGTTTTATTTAAGTTCATGTTTTGATATATGAGCCATAGTGTCTGCTAAATAACAAAGCCCCAGCTGAAACATGGGAAAAAGAGGACAGAGCTTTTTTTGTGGTGATCCAAACATGCATCCAGGGTAGGTCAAGCAAATCAAGATGCTCACAAAGTATCACTATCAGTAGAGCACAAAAAAAAAAATTATAAGTTGTTCCTTTTGTGTAAGCTAGTGCAGCAGAATTCTGTTATCCTAAAAGGCTCATGACTGATGAGGGAGCATATCAATTCATAGCCTATAGAATGAAAAATCGAATTGTTTGATGAGACCTTGGATGAAATTTCACCCCTTCTACTACTATGAACCTGAATGATGTTGAAGAGCTTGACAATTTTTGTTTGCTTCATATAATTAGGTTTTAATAATTTGACGAGAAAAGGCAACTACAACAAATTTAACATACATAACAAATAAGAAAATTTGCATTATATTTGAAGGATCTGGCAGACTGCCACTCACCACAATGTCTTGGAACAAACTAAAGTTATCTATAATTTCACAGATGTTAAACAAAACAAAATTAAAAATGTTCTGTTGCTAAAAAATTCTTATGGTGAATTCAGATTTGTCTCCATGTTCATAACACAAGTAACTTGACAAATGAAAAGTAAAGATTCAGATAAATAAAACACAATAGAATGGCCACACACAGCATGGGATCTCATAAACTACTGCAAATATTTGTACTGTTCTGAAAGTCATCTTGATTAAAAATTAACAATGTATTCACTGTTTCTATCCAGTTTTCCTGAAAAGAACTAAAAATTCATTTTTTTTCCTTTGTAGAAGAACCAAGCATGTGGTTCTCTACCACAGTCATTTATTTCTTACTTACAAATCAGACAATTCTTAACAAGACAGTACAGTACAATAATTCTTCCCATAATAAAAAAATTATATATTCTATTTTGTTCTTTGCTGAAGTGGTTTTCTTATGTTTGCTTTCCTGATACAAATGTCCTTGGTCAAAGTAGATGAAAAATGTGATCAAGCTGCAAAAAAAAAAATCCATTTAATTGACAGTCCCAGTATTGAAGGAAGCTTGTGCAACCTTTGAGTTTGTTTTCTTGTTCAAAGCTGTGCAGATGAAATTTCCAGCTTCCATCACTCCATAAAGATTTACTCCCTAAAAAAGAGGTGAAAAATGTTAAGGATAATAAATGTACATGATGAAAATGCTTAGACTCTAAGTTTTTTTGCTCCAGGGTCTAATTTTTGCAAACAATGGGCCTGATTCATGTTGTAGGTCAGTAACACTGATCAGCAGCAGAGTTAGAGTGATCTACAGAATAGTTACAGCAATTTACAGAATAGTTACAGCTTCCCGTTGTTTGGAAGGTTCTACCACTTTGAGAGTGATTTCTTCTCTTAACAGCAGTGGACCAAATGCTGGAGTAATATTTTTCAAACTCAAAAGAATCTGGAATAAAAAACTGGAATTACAACTAGAAGAAGTTGGAAGAAAAAAGCAGTGTCTACATATGTGCTGTACTTCTTTATCACCCAGTGCTAAGGAACTTGATGTATTTAAGTATCCCATCTGCAGCTCAGGAAAATGGAGGAAACACACTTGTATTGGCAACTGTGTTCAGGGAGAAACAGGTTCCTGTATTCTCTTGAGTAAACATAATCTCCTTCTTGAAGGAGAATTAATCCAAAATTACAGTTTACATTGCTATCACACCTGAGCAAAAATTTGCAGCTGCTTGATCTGCCCATGCTAAAAAACATGTCCCTTGAGCAACCGCTTTTTAACTAACATAAGGTACATAGCAGTACTGCTTAACTGTGAAAATGAAATCAGATTACTGATTAAAGAGGCAAAAATACTTCATTATCAGTCTCCTGGATTACTTGGGTGTAGTAAAAGTTTTAGAGTTAGATCATATAAGTGGTAAAAATACTTGCTCCAAAGGTTGGAATTTAGGAGCCAGTAAAGTTCCTGTAGAAGGGATGCAAAAGGGGACTCTGAACTACCAATACACTGAGCAGTCACACAAAATTGGGAGAAGGGTGTCACTCAACATTAAAGAGTACAAGGTGTATTGGAGCAGAAATACACTTTCACTTTCAGATTAATATACTAAAGTTCGGACCAAGACTTGATTTAAATACTTAATCCTGTAATTGGTTCTAGCACTTATTTCCATGTTCTTCAGTAAACTTGGCCTTTTTCATTCTTGGAATTCACTAAAAATGTTAATGAGAATAGAAATTACTTAACAGAAATGTAATCAAAAACATTTTTAATTTGAAAAAAATGCTTCAGAGTTTCCAATCAGCACCATGTAAAACATTTGGTCCTTACTTAGGCTTAGTTTGTAAAGCCCTATTGCACATAAGGTAATATAAAAAAATTTTAATGCATGTGTGCTTTTTAACAAGGCAGAAATGAGCAACATACCGCCATGGATATATTTGGTAGTTAGATTACAGCAGATGTCAAAATAAACTCCCCAAACTATCCAATATTCATGTTTTCATCACTGTAACACTGCCTAATGTGCTATGTGTTGATAAGAAACATACGTTCACAGTTCACATTCATTAAATGGAGTACATGCATCTCTTCTTTTTTTGCTTTCTTATGCAAGTGGTGTGAACCAAAGAGGATTACCACGAGGGCACAATACTTGGCACTGATGAGCATGACTCACAGATGAGAATGGGACAAGAGTAGTGACAAGTGTTTGTAAGGGTGTTGAGCCAAAATAGCACATCTTCAGATAGATACTCAGAATATACTATGTAGTAACCACTCCATATATCCACAATTACTCCTTGACACCAAGGCATGAAACCAAAAAACAGAAAGAAAAGTGCCTTCAATAGTATCTATGTACTTGGACAAGTGCCTTAAGTCAGACAGAAGGCAAAATCCTTTAATTCCCATGAACTTCAAAACATTCAGCCTGCCAAAGATTAATTTCATGGGTCACTTCTTGATTACGTGTTCTGAAGAACAGTATAGAAAAAGAATCAGTTATTATTTTGATGTGTCTGGTCAATCTGAACTCAATAATGTATGGTTAAATACTATCCATCCTTTGCTTGACACTTCGAGTGACTTCAGTCAACAAACTGAAAGCTTTAGTGTGTAGCTGAGATGAACATGAGAAAGTGCTCCTTGCAAATGGACAGTATTAGCAATTAAAATTTCATTTTGTGCCATTACACAAAAAGGAACGTATTAATAGATTTGTGCAATAATGATTTTACAGAACTGGCAACAGTACCAAAACCAACCAACACTACAAAGACCAAAGCTCATATATTAAAGTAATAACTTTGAGGCTCCAAGTCTCTCATCCGGTAAAACACACTTTATTTAATGGGCCAGAAAGGATTCAAGAAGAAAAGCTTTGTGTTTTTCTTTTGCATAATCCAAAATTTAACAAAACCACCAACAAAGGCAACAAAACAAAAGGGCAACTAAGTGTCTCATGATGAGATTCTCTCCATGGGATTTGGTATCAACCTTTAGGAGAAGCTAGATTCCTGCTTGGACACCAGACTATTAACAGATTAATCAATCTTATCAAGAAGCCTGGAACAAGGTATATTTCATATAATCAAACTTTTTATTTAATTGCTTCATTCCGCTATGAGTCAGTTGGAAAGACCAATGGGTATTTAGCCCAAGGAAAGACTACTGAAAGCCTAAGGTACACAGCGATGTAAAGTGAAATGCAACATTTGTCCTACTTATTTCAAGGACCTGTGTTGTTTCAAAAGAATAAACATCATCTTCATGAAGAAAAGCTATCCCAATGTGTATACAAACAATTCAAAATAGAGTCCACTTGTAAAATGGACACTTGTGATTAAACCTTTTCTAAACAGGTGTCTGACATCTACTCAGAATTCCCTAAAAAGCAAATGAAAGCAGATAAACTCTTAGAGTGAACTCTGTAAGGCATTGAATATGCTTTAACAGTGCTCAGGGAACAAGTTTTATAATCCTTTTATGTCAAGGAACTCTATCAGCATGTATACCACACTGAACTGCAGCCTACAAACAACTGGTAAGCTCCTCAGTAACTCAAATCTTCATATTTCAGACATCAGACATTTCAGTTTCTTTCTGCAGTAGTTTAAATGCAAACCACACACTTTGCAGTTTTGGCAGCTCTTTATGTGTTCTCTTTTGAATTTGACCCTCGGAGTCTGTGTATCAATTAAAGTCACTGTAATGCTTGAGTTAGCACAAACACATTGTGTCACATTTCCAGAACAACAGTGGCCAACAGGAAGAACAAAGAGCACACATTCATTGGAGAAGGTAGCATTAACTGGTTCCCACAAAAACAGAATAATTAACTTGCCAACCATGCTAGAGATTCTAAAAGTGTGCTCTTGAGGTGTGGATGCTCACTGGTAAGGTTCATTAAAGTGCAGCTCAGTGCAGATAAGCTGCTCTACCCTCTATTCCAAGAACAGAGCTGGAAATAAAAATTACTGTGAAGCCTGCTAAGCAGTAACAGGTTTTGTACAATTTTGAAATATATTAAGTGGATACCTGAGAAACAACAATGCCCTCTGCTTGGACTCCAAACACCACTTTTTTTTTTTTTTCAACTTTGAAGCCAGAAAAATTTACAACAAATTAATAAGCACTATGAACCAAATCCAAAACTGTGACAAAAGCTGAGGTCCACTCAGTCTTTCCACTGTAGAGCTGATAAGCCTTCTGGAGCAATGTCTACAGTATGAATGTTTTGTGGCTACTGAGGCAGAGCCTGAGTAGCCTGAGGCTACTCAAAGCAGCTGCTACTAAGCTCTACTCTGCTACCATAGCTCCAGGTAGGGAGAGGGAGATTATTCAGATTATGTTAAATATGCAAACCAATTCTACCCTAAATTGCTAATGAAGACAACATCACTCATGTTATGTGTCAAGCTATGTCAAAGCACTGAGTTTGCGAAATTTACAGTTGGCTCACAGTATTTTATTGCACAGCACAAGTAATTGGCAGGTATGTATTGTATGTTTCCTAGAAAAGTATTTTTGTTTTCCTTAAAGTCTAAAGTAGAAAGTAAAAATATCTTACTGTATTGATTCCCAGACCATTAAGCATGTATATCACATCCTCTGTGGCTACATTTCCAGTAGCACCTTTTGCATAGGGACAACCACCAAGTCCTGAAACAGATGAATCCACTACAGAAACTCCCATCTGGAAAATAACAACACAAAACCAAAACATCAGCACAGAGTATTAATTACATTTATTGATAAATGGCAGGCTATATGGATTAGTTACATGCAAAAAATATGCACTTCTCCACAAATGGATGTGTTCCTTGGAGGAAGTTCCTTATAATGGAACAATTTGTCCTGACATCTTTATAAGGTAAGACTCTTCAAACACAGGATATGTAACAAAGAACTAACAGTCCATTACATATGATTTTGACAGATAAGATAATTGCTGCTTTAGAGTCAAACAGAGGTTTATGCTTTTTCTCTCTTTATCTTTCAACATATTTCTAAGTAGCCTGCATCTGTTCTTGTAAATGCTTTCATTGAACCAAACACAATCAATGGAATTTCTCCTTAGATATAGGTTCTGAGCTTTACTTTGAATATTTTTAAGGGAATACTTGGTGCATGGTGTTAACCTTTCTCATTTTAACTAGTCTTAAATTAAGACTTGAAAAAACATTCAGCTGTCATAAATTCATAATTCTCTGATTTTTATTTTCTTACTGCTGCACCCAAGTGCCTTCTCTCTTCTGATACTCTCAGCATATTCATGATAAAAAATAGTAAACCAGTTACCAACTCTGCCTAGCAGATAATACTACATTTCCTATGGGATAAAGCCTTCCCTGGAAGACAGATATGGGAGGGAAAAAACCTGAGCCTGTAATTTCCACTGATTTGAGTGAGCGCTTGCACCCTCTTCATTCTGTAATTAGATTTTAAAATAAAGCTGAAATTGGGAAGAGATCTTTTTCTGTTACAACATGTTAGGTATGTGATCCAGGACACTGGGTCTCCCTTGTCAGACAAAGCTTTTCAGTCTTCCCCTTGAAGAGGATCAGATGCCTCTGGAGGCATTCAGGCTCTAGAGATAATCAGAAGCAGACAAGGGTATTAGGCAGAACAGTCATCAGCTCTTCAAAGACACCAGCTTCTTTCTATCTTAAGTACACTGAGGGTTCTCCCCATAGGGCTAATTTAGGCAGACATACACCAAAACTGTAGAAGGAGAAGTCAGGCAGACTGAATCAGAGTGCAATAACAGCTCAAATTCAGGACAGGAGTTCCACTTTGACTTTGGGTCCAGAGAAATTCATATGTTAAACCATGCCTGTTACTTGCATTTGCAAGTCAGTAAGATCTGCTTTGAGGCCTGGCTGAAGAGAGAGCTGATTTCCCTTCTGAGGGACCTACCTACCCCTGCAAGCTAGTCCAGAACCCTGAGCTTCTCCTTCACAGCCATGCACACAACTAGCTGGCAAGGTAGGCAAACAATATGTCCTGCATTCTGCAGTTGCTAAGACCCCTATCCAAATATACCCATCAGTTGTTTGGGGTTTTTTTTTAGTTCCAAAATAAACTTCCCTAATGTTTTGTTGTACTTGCTTCTACTTTTAACAACGCTTTCTGTAGTTTTATCATTGGCCTTACGGGCTCTTTAAAGTTCCAACGTTTCTGGAGGGCAATAATAAAAAGTAATCCAATGAAGTGCTGTTCCAGGTCCTTTTCTTGGACAGGGAATATTATCTTGAGCTAGGTAGCTGATCAAAGCCTGTAATAAGGACCTCAAAGGAGTTGAGGTGTGTAACTGTGACAGGCAAGACGATATGTTTAATATTGCTCACACAATGAGAGTCTCTAAGGAAGGATATTGTCCTTTAAAGTACACTAATCTGTGACTTATGGAGTGAATCACCAAAGTACATTTCACATTTCAGTCACTTGTTACACACTTTGTGTAACCTACCAGTCAGAAAATGTGTTATATGACACATCTGTGTCTAATACATAAAGGATAAGCATTTATGATAGCTTTCAATTGGAAATTCTCTCTTTTTGCATTAGCTGCTGAGATTCATGCATTTATGCTGGAAGTCATTGCTACAAGCTCCACAGTGGCAACTTTCAGGCTCGCAAGTGTCCCTGCAGACACACACATAAGGCCTCTTAGTGGAAAGATTTAGGGTATGGTGAGGTTCTGCGGAAAAGGGTGTCTGACATGGATGTGCAGGTTGATACAAGCATGCATTCCACTACCATGCCTGCTCTTTCAGTTTAATTTTAAGACTTCAATTAGAAATTGCTGTTCCAGAGATGAAAAAGTAGAAGGTCTTCTCTGTGGTGACTCGTGACGGGACCCGAAGGAATGGCCTGAAGTTGTGTCAGAGGAGGTTTAGGTTGGATATTAGAAAAAGGTGTTGGGCACTGGAACAGGCTCCCCAGGGAAGTGGTCACAGCACCAAACCTGACAGAGTTCAAGAAGCATTTGGACAATATTCTCAAGACTCTTGAGGATGGTACTGTGCAGGGCCAAGAGTTGGACTTGATGATCTTTGTGGGTCCCTTCCAACTCAGCATATTCTGTGATTCTGTGAAGGAAGTGTCTTTCATGGAGTTTTCCCCAAACTGTAAGGTTATGTTGTAACTTCTAGAGCATTCTTCTTGATGTACTTATTTTCAATAACTTTTACATGGTGATAAAAGCTATAGGCAAATAAATTTATAAGGTACATCACAGCTGTTAAACTCCCAAGGAAGATGAGCAGACTCAGAAACAGCTTCAGTAGCATATAAAGAGTCATGTTCTAGTCCCATATAAAGAGTCACGTTCTAATCCCAGTGAATTATCTCATTAAATGCTTGTCCTTGTGCAAAAATCGGAAAAAATATCAAGTAAATTGTACTTGTTGAAAAACAGCCAAAAAAAGTTTGCCAGGTCAAAGCTGGGGAGAACCTCTCCCTCTGCAGCGTGTATTACTATCAGTAGCCTGCTCCAGTCAGTGACAGTAAGCAAAACCAAGAAACAATATCCTGCCAGCATTAGCAGAGCATGTTTTCTGAAAGCATTGAATAAATATATATAAAAATTTCTTGATATCCTTGTACAAACACTTGTGATGCCACTGTAATTCTGCATTTGCAGTGCAAGTCTTGTAACACTGGGGAACAGGTTGCTTACAATCATTTGTTTAAAGTGATTGTGAATACATGGAGGAGTACAGGATACTACAGCAACTTGATGGTAACATGGAACACATATCTTTGTCTTACCACATCTTTGTATTCTCAGGCAGCCTTGTCTGCGTTTGATTCAAACTACCTTCCCTGGAAGCTAGAGTAAGCTCAGTCAATTTAGCCTAATGTAGATGCAAGAGCATAAAAATCCTAATGTCTTCAGCTGGCTAAGTAGTGGGAATGGTAACTTCCACATGACTGGCAGTGATAATTGATCTGTCTTTTAAACATTTACTATTATGGCTAAGCAGAAAAAGGAGAAAGTCTTAATTACAGCTTTACACTGGTAATGTCCTTGGTGTGGTGGCTTTCATCCCAGTACAGGACTCTTAAACCATTACTTCCCAGAAGCAGTATATAAACATGAAGTCACTAAAATTGCATCTCCATCAGGATGGATTTGCTATTTGAACATTAGGCCAGTTGTAGACAAGGTCTTGACATGGTGTATATAATACAGCAGCTCTGACTGACCTCCAGATCTGGCAGTTCTTCAAATCAATGCTCTTAATATGCAATGAACAGGTGTCTCTGCCTTTAGGATAATGTCTTTTAAAGTTCACAATGCTTCTGATAAGATGTCCACTGCAACATACAACTATTTCAGCAGCAGGGTCAGCTGCATCTGTCTGCTCTTGCGTGTTGTACAAATGTAATGTGTTTGCTGATTCATGTGTAGAATCACTGCAGTTCATCTTCAGTGTGGCCCCATTCAAAAAAGACCTTAAATAATCCATGGTCCAAGCTCCATTCTAACAGTGCTAAAAACAGATGTTGGAAAACATCCTTCAGCAGTGCTACTAACTAATTCGGAGGTTGATATTACAGCTGAGCCTGTCCAAGCACAGTCTGAAATAGCACCTAATAAATAAATTCTCTGCAACTCTGAGCAGCTATGAAGCTTCTTTGCTTCTGCAACCATTAAAAGCATAAGGGACTCTAAAAAAAAAATCTAAAAATTGACTAAATATGTAAAACAAGGTCTTTTCCTTCATTACATCTCCAGTATTTGTCAGGCTTTTACAGGAGATAACAAGTTTCAAGCTGTTTAGCAATCTGAGCTTGCAAAGTATTCACTGTCAATAGGAGATCTTTAAAAAGCTTACAGTCTCATTCTCACTTCCTGACAGGCACTAAATTGTGCTGACATTCATGAGAAGTTGCACTGCAGCTATTCCATAGGATATGTCCTAGACGAGCACTCACCCAGCTACTTATGTATGGACATGTGTGAGGGTGAACAATAGCTTGGCTTCCAGGACAACTATAGTGCTCCAATCTTTTTTGACACTTTGCAGCCTTTCGATAATCACTAAATTCCTGACAGTGGTTCCTGAACACCTTCCAAACTTTAGCTTTGGCTAGCTTTAGCTTACTCTCTAGAGAAGGTAGAAGACTTCTTGCTCCTGTCCCATGCTAACTTCGCAATTCCCCAATGAGAGAGCAGGGAATTAAATTTATCACCTTTGTCAAACAGCCAATTTTAACAGGAAACCATTATTGCCAGTGAATAATAAATGCTTTATGTTTCTCAGTTTGCTTTACTGCCTCCCCATAACTTCTTGTTGGGACAGTTAGTCTCCTTCCTTACTGATCTTTAAACCTGGCTTTGTCTGGCAGAAGTTTAACTTTGTCCCTCTCTTAAAAATGGCAAAGTCAGCATCAGTAACCCCAGGAATGTACGAGGTATAAATCAGAAGCTATAAACCAGGTCTCTCATAAATTAGGCTTCTTCTAAACTATGAGATTTTGAAATCATAATATCAAGGATCCTAGGTATGCATTAAACAGGCAAAGATTTGTTGTGTGAAAAAGTCTAGGGGCTTGTGTACCAATGCCTTAAAGATAGGTGCATGTAGGTTCAGCATTTGTTCAAGGAAGGGAGGAGGGAGGGAGGAAGAAGTAAAAGGAGGACCCACACACATGAGGTCAAAGGTTGTCCACACAAAAGGCAGC